AAAATCATTTTTCGTTTTTTAACATCAATTGCTTTCGCGGTAGTTTGTAGCAGTTTATGTTGGCAGCCATCGCAAAAAATTTACAAATTTACTGGTGACGTTGACACATTACATGAGGCATTTTGTACTTTGACAGCTAGGAAATCTGTACCGGATGTTTCGTCCTGCAGGTTTCTCAGGTATATGTTCTTGCCTTCTCCTTCTCAAGTTGTCTGTGGGGAAGAGGGATAGCTGGCTTTCTCTTTCGTCCTGAACCTCGATCATGCATGAAGAGTAAAATGAAAGACTTAAAACCGATGAGTTACATCACAAATAAATAAACATAATACTCACAACTTTCAGTAAATAAAATCATAAACTATTATGCCATATTTTTCTATGAACAATTCTATTACTTAGAAAATCCAATAAATTCACATTGTATATTGTATTTTTTTTCGAATATTTTGAAACTATTTTTTAGTGTTTCAATAAAACATTATTCAAACAAAAAATTATCCGGGTACTTTAACATTAGGATCCCTGGGTCCGGGCCCTATGGGGCCGTGCCTTGACGCGGCACTGAATACAGCTAAAAAGAATTCGTTGAATGGAACATTTTTTCCTTGTAGTAAGGAAGATGAATCTTCCTTCTATAGAGGGATGAATCAACCTCGTACTCGTACCTAACTTTCAGATTTTTAACTTCTGCTTTCACTTCAACGGCTAATTTTAGAAAACTGGTCAGTGTAACCACAACTTTTATTTTTATCTCCCACATCCCCATTCTTGAAATACGACACTGAGTAAAGCAGAATGACACTTTCCCTGAAATTGATTCATAGTATTTACGCCTTTTGGAGACCGGACGGCGGACATTTAGTCTGAAAAGGGCCTTATACGAGTCTGTGTAATTAATTCGACATTCCTGTAACATTTATTCGAAATCTATTTATAATTACAAACTATTGCAAGAAAAATTATATTTTGCAAGAAAATATACATTTTGATACGGATTACCATAATCGAATATCAAGAATGATATATTCTCATTGTTCCTTCATTTGCAAGAATTCATTTTGAGAATGACTACAACTTGTAGAAAGTCAAACTGCTCGATAGCAATACACAATACGAAGGATGAATCACTTTCATATATCAGAAATTTGTAACTTATCTTCTTCCCTTTCATGCATGATTTGAATGCGGAGTTTGATCAGCAACTTGGAAAGTTTGCAAACTGATAACGAATGCTGAGTCGCTTTTGCATTAGGTATCTCTTTCGATTGCATTTAGCTTCAAAATAACAGTTTAGACCAATCCATGTTCAATTGGACTCGACAGTTTTTCAACTCTTTTGTTTCCAGTATTTATGACAATAAACTACTGAGAGACAATTTTATTGCCGGTAGAGTTGGACCGTCATAAAAGACGATTAAGGTCCATTTAGAATACAAACATTAACGCAGACGAGCTGTCATAAACCTGTACTTTTTAACATATGTTTTGACATAAACATGGACTTACGACGACGACGGTAAACGAACTCAGCCAATCAACGAGATCAATAAAATAAATATTTGGCATTGAAGTACATATACATATTATGCATATACAATATAACATTAAAATAACCACCATTATGTCTGGATAATTATTTCGTATACCTTGAGTGCCACTAAAGAGCGTTAAATGGGCAGTAATGACGATGATCAATGTCACTGTATGCTCTTACAACTTTATTGTTGCAAAGAAAAAGTAAGAAGTTCTATGCATCTTTCTGTGTTATTATCTTACATAATGAGCATAATATAGTGTGTTGTTTCAAATTACATTGACGCGCACGTGAAAGCTTACACATTGCAAACATTCTCAGATGTTTCACGTTTTCTATGATATATGCCGAATGAGTGGAGCCGCCTTTATGTTCTCGTTCTTATATTTACGTTTTCATTCATCGACGTGAAGGGTTTATTCCAATAACACGTCACCAAGCTATTGTGCTAACGTCACGCTTGCGTTTAAGTTTCATCGTGAATACACCGTGAACTCACCTTGAGGATAGCCCTTGTGGGCGGGGGCGGCGGTGGTTTGGGGCACAGAGCCCCGGGGAACTGCAGGCTGTGCAGTCACCAGGCCGGCCATCAGAAGCACCACCGCCATCACCAATCGGCTCGCCGCAGTCGCTTCCATCTCCTCGGCCGGATTGCAGTCGTGTCTCTACCCTCCACAGCGCTTGCGTCTCTTATAAATGCGAACCGCTCTCGGACGTCACGCCCACCTCAAAGCCCGTTATATCGCCCGAGGGAACTCTTTCCTCCATGGGAGTGCTCACGGAGCGGAGGCAAGCGCCCTCTACCTTGCGCAGGGGTTGCTCGCTTTCCTGTTTACGAACGGAAGTTTTCCCGTTTACTCATAGGCGCGCTGCAAGCCACTCATTGGCCATGGTCACCGTGGCCAAGGTCCATTCCCGAGAACCAAGAAATCTAAAAGGCACCTTACAAAACCTTATAGCTCTCTTGCCGATGGCCCTCGCAGACTTTGAACTCAGAATGCGTGATGCAGGGATGACCAGAATAAATGAAATATTAACGGTTTGAAGTAAAATTTCTTGGTGGTTACAGCTATGATTCATGCAACTGACAATGTGAAATAGAATACCTAGTAAGTAATTACTCATTGAACTTCAATAGAATATATATGACAATATCAAGACAATTGAACTATAAAATCAGACATATGTGGAAACAAGTTAGAGAACACCGAATTTTAAGAATAAATTAATTTTAATTTGTAAACCTATCTCACACTTACCAATAATCATACGTTTATTAATTCATCGTTTATTCATTCTATTAAATTATTAGCAGTAGTTTGGTGATGAAAAAAAATTATACTAGTTAGTTGATATTGTTGCATAAACCTGCAATGAGACTCAAGGCCATACTCAGAGGGAGTCTGAAGATTCAATAGCATCACCCTGAAATACTCATTCACTATTTACATAAAAAAATAAATAATGAATTTCGTACAATTTTATGTTAAATAGTGAAGTCCTAAGCATTTAACTTGTTTGGAAAGCATAACTAGTGACACTCAACAGCACATACTCTATCACATTATTTAAAAATTTTGAAATTGAAAATTCAGGGATTTTAACGAAAATAGTGCCTCTCCGTCTTTTGAACTACTTTGTAACACTGAAGTCTAACCACTGATTGCTTTTAAGGTTGTAATTTTCTTTTGCACCAGTATTTTTTTATTCAAGGCCTGTTGCCGACAAAAATATTTCTATGCCACCAATAGTTATTTACAATTTAACAATTGTTTAACAACTGCATGTACTATTTTGACGTTGTGCATCATTACCTTTCAATATTTTTTTAATGCATTTCCCAATATATTTTTGTGGGGGGATATTTTATAAACCTTTATTTTAACAGTAGGTACCTTCTATGTTATTAAATTTTCTGGACAATGCAAATTTCCTTCTTCAACAGTTTGGGAAGCAATTCTGTTCTTGTTCGTCAAAATGTCTCAGAGTTATGAGGGAGTGAACGTGCCTTTCACCTACTCCCGCCTTGGGCTTCCGCTCGGGGACAGGGGCTTTTGTATTCAAAATCGTATTACCTGCTGCAAGGTGCCGGGCTGCCATCGGCGGACAGTTACCAGGAAAAATCCAGCCACAAGGGCAAATACATCCTATTCTTTCAATAGCCGGCCTCTTCTCTCATTTGTAGATAGAATATCTGGTTGTTAGAAACACGTTAAATGAAATGCACCAGTCAAGAAATGCTGAGCTGATAAACAGCGTGTTTGATTCTGCTATGGTAGAAGGCGTAGCTTAGTATCAAGTTGGCCTGCCACACAATATTTTGGATGAAGATGATTGATAAAACATTGGATTTGTTGTAATAAATTAGCAACAAAATAGTTAAAAATGCTTGCACTAGTATTATTCCTTTATGCGATGGTGGGCGGACTAATTTAATGTCAAAGTGAAATTCCGTTCTCGTGAAGCAGAACTGTAAAAATGGTTTTACTGCAATATAATACACACAGACGCACGATATACAGGCGAAAAGTGTAGTTTCTTTTTAAACGTCCGTGTGACCGTCCCTCTGTCGCCAGTCCATGAACAACACTATACTAGCCTAAACTCCTCTTATACCTTTTGTCTAAATTAATAATGAGAGCGAATCATTATATTTTTAAACATTGAAAATAGTTTATATATATTAACGTTTTCATGAAATATAAAATTAAATCTTCTATTTTAACATTCACCTATAATTGAAGCTATGACACATTTTCTATTTTTTCAATAATACATTCGAATGTTGCATTTTGCATATTACATAAAATATTTTATATTTCTCAATGCTACGAATTAATATACTTATTTTAAAAGTATATTTTAAAATTTATCCGTTTCGGAGTAAGAAATTCGTTACTTTAATGACAGAGGAAGTGAGGAAATGTGCCATATTCCATTTCTTGAGATATTCGCATCATATTGACAAATATAAGAACTTTTCAATTATTTGAACTAAGAACTTGTACAAATTAGAAACAGCAAAGTTCACTAGGGTGAGAATATCTCAAGGAATGGAGCCTGACACATTTTCATCCCTTGTGGCACATTCTCTTCCCGTGTGACAGTAATGTTTTTAATTTGTTTTGTTTCCTTGTACTAAATATGATGATCAAATGTGATATTCATTATGATGTTCCTTGTCTTCAGAGAGAATATCTTCAGAGAGAAAGCTATGGCAGCCCTGTATATTTTAGTATGTAGCATTACCTTCAATCATTCGCGTTACAGCAGTAGCTCGTAAACAATGAACCTTTCCTTATTTTGCCTATACTACTCGTACAAATAGAATGAACTGAAATACAGCGCACAAAAGAATACAGGACGAGTCAAAAGAAAAAATTCAATGCAACTAAATTCCCGTCACTATCAATCATGACTATGGTAATCACATTTCAACGAAGAACCGAGGAAACCCGGCGGTCGCAGTGAGGTTCTGGCTGCGGAACAATTGCCATTGTGATTTCTCGCAATTCTGCATGATAAATAAAATTCAAGTAAATAGCTCTCCTTCGAAGAAAAGCATTTTGCGATTTTGAAGATAAAAAACGCGTTAATGCGATAGTTCATCAGAAATTCATACATTAAAGCAGTTTCCGTTGAAATTCATATACTACAGACGATGGGATTACGATTAATTTTTATGCGGTAACCTGTAATTGCTTTTTTTTAGCATTTCATACTGCAAACGCGTATTCTTTCACGGAGAAATATACTAATTGCTGCTTTCATCATGTCAGAGCTTCGTTTACAAAACAGCGTCTGCGTCGGGGGCGCAAGGACCTGGCCAGGTAAGGAAAGTGAAGGGACAGCCAGAAGAACTGTCTGGGAGAAGCCTTCAAAGAACAAAAGCTGTTGTCGGACGATTGCCATCACGCAGAAGAAAGGAAGGTGAAAGGTGGATTCTGGGGACCTAGCTCTAACGATTGGGAGGGGGGATAGAAGCGGCTTAACCTGACCACCTTCAAATTCCATTTATGGAATATTTATCTAATTTTTCGCCTTTTTTTGTTTGTTTTGTTTTTTAATGGATGATCTCAGTGCAACAATGGTTATGTACAATTTTAAAAATCATAAAATTCTCAAAACATTTGCTAAAAAAATTTTCGTATTCAAATAGTAAGACACCTAGGGGGATTTTAAATTTCACTAAATTTTCGTTTTTGATCTGAAGTTTCTCCTAAATTACTATTGGTCTCTTTGATGTAGTATTTTTTGGTTTTATATGGTCGCTATAAATATAAAGCGATTAAATATTACTGCTTATAAATCCTCAAGTAAAACTCACATTGAAAATTTCTGGTAAGAGTGGCAGTAGGCTATACTTTCTAGACATTGTTTCTGCCAACACGATTTACTTACATCAAAAAGGTTTCAATAGGGTAAAAAGAACTTATTCTGATAATAATAATTATTATTATTAATGCATTTTTTGGGGGGGGGTCGCGAATAGATTGACCAGGACCATGCGTGCATGCACACTGCATTTACCGGGGCTCAGAAGATTATCTCGGCGCATGTAATTCTATTCAGGGCATCATCATTTAGCAGGCTCCGATATTTATCTCCCAGAGTTGTTTTCTCCTGGGAGTATGAAAGATGAAATGATGATGATAGTGAGGGGTGACAGGATGACACACGCACACAAACACAAATACACACATGCCCTAGGAGGGACTCGAACCCGCGAGTTTCAGGTCGGAGACCACTACGGCACTACAACCTTAGCGATCTCGATCTTCTGATCGGATATTATTACAATATTTTATTACTATAAGTATTAATTTCTTAGGGAATGCTCATGTACAACACGGCAACAAAGACTGTTCTATATTCCAAGAATGAAAAGCCGTGAATTAGAAATAGGCAACTATGACGACTTTTTTAATTCTCTAGATGTCTATTTTTATTTTTTATAATAATTGAAATTATTATTTACAACAAATTTTGAAAACTTAAAGCTTAGTCAGGCTAGAGTCCCTTACATCTCTGCTAATCGCACTCTGTAATCGCTCTATGTATAACACTACCAATACAAAGTATATTAATCCAAAATTGGTTTCTGCCATCAATTCGAACGGAAAGTTAACAATCTCAGCCAAATATATTATATATATATATATATATATATATATATATTATATATTATTATATTATATATATATATATATATATATATATATATATAACTTAGTCAAGCATTCAAATTGTGCAAAATACGTGTCTGAGATTCTGTTATGACTTCAGAAAGTTCCATCACATGTCTCTGGCTATGCAGCATCCAGGTTGGCTGTCAATGAGATAGAGAATCTGGCAACTTACCGTTAAACTTAAATTCTTAAAACGGGCAACCCACCTTATCTTTGTGATCAAGTAACTTGCTTGACAGACTGGTGCGCTAGGAGGTCATTCTGCACTATATCATCTTCTAAGTTATCATTTCCGCGTTATTGCAAATCACTATGTACTTCATCCTTTTCTTATTTGGCCGCGTCTTTTTAACCAGTTATCGGATGGATGTTTTGAGATGAGAGACAGTTATTTTCTTTCCTTCATGATTTTGTTACTAGTAATTTCTGGTTTAAAACCCGCTTTCTGAAACTAATAGTTGCTATAATGTCAATTACTCGTAGATGCCAGTACTGTATGCTTTACACCAATTCTACTTTTCAATAATATGTAAAATCCTTTAGTTTAGCACTTTAATAGAATTTTAGATATGAATTATCTACGATAACTCATTGTTTTCTTCTACTGCTTTTGCACACTACTATTGTTGTTCTACTATTTTTAGAGCGATATCCTTTTTATATTATTCGCATATGTTATGTATTTGTTTTTATACCCGTTTACGTACTTATGTATATATGGAGTAATATACGCAGTATAGGGAGAGTTATGTAATGCTGCGGAAAATCGATTTCAAGATTTCAACGGGAATATATGTTTTGGTGTCCCTAGATACCGAAAACGTGTTTGTTTTTTTTTTTCAAAACGCTCATCCGTCTGTGCATCCGTTTGTTAGTCTGTCCGTGTGTGAATACTACTAGCGCCTAATCCATAAGTACGATTTTTTCCAAAATGGCTATTACCCGATTGATCTGGTTCCACTCAAGGCGCCGCGATATTGAAAAACGGTCTTAAAATTTGGGGGACCTTTTCATGAAGCTCCCCGGACATTTTCAAAATTGTCTCAAAAACAGCTCCTAAGTTTTTCTTTAAATTGCTTATAAGAATAGAGTAAAATACACTTATAAATATGTCATAGGCCCGATTTCACGGTTAACTCTGAATTTTCGAATATTGCAAAAGATTTTTCCGCTCTTCCTTCAACCACAAAATTTAAGATAGAGATTTTTCCTTCAAATGAAATTTATTGTTCATTATCAGTTCTTTCAACAAGTTCAAGTATATATTTTTGAAAATTTTACGAATTATTCGAGCAATATTGCGTGCAATTTGTGCAATTTTAGAAAATAACAGATTTTCTCAAAAACAGCTCCAAATTTTTTCTTTAATTTTTTGGTAAGAATTGTGCTCAATGCACTCTATAAGAAGACAAATTCCGTATTCCTCTAACCTTTCATTTGTCCAAAAATTACAAAAAATATCGTTAATATTTACATTGACTCCTGATGGGTAACTGACCTTTTTTTGTATCCATACAAAAATTATAAGAAATTTCTCTAATCAAAGTTTTTATTTTGTTTGTTTTTCGTTTAAAAAAAAGTTTTGGTTTCTTACGGCACTTACAGTGATGATTAATAGCTCTTTCGATTCCTCTCGATAAACTAAATCGATTGATACAATTCTTACAGTACCGGTAGCATATAAGCGACTCTGATAGTTCAGTGCACTGTTGTCACACATTACTACGAACATGGCACCACCTACATCATAGATAAATTAAATTTCAAAAAACTAACACTTACTGACTGACTTTGCAACATCTTGATATCATGTTTATAATTATTGCCAAAGCCGAACCTTATTATTTACACTTACTGACTGACTATGACACATCTTGATATCATGTTCATAATTATCGCCAAAGCCGAACCTTATCTCATTCGCGACTTCGCGTGTGATGTCAGTATGAGTCGGTCTTATTATCTGGCTCAATGCCTTCTTGGTTTCTTACGAAGTAAATCAGAATTTATGCATCGTGCAATGTCTGATTTGTGTCTTTCAGTTGTTCTATGGCACTTATGTTATCTGTACTCTACGATGCTACTTGGTTCTGAGATTTATGCTCTGTTTCAGTAAGTGTGTCTCAAAGCGCGTGCTGTTGGTTTTACTTGTAGTCTGTTTCTCTTTTAGTTTAATTCTGTATATTAGATAAATAGCTCTAAAATAAATATCATACGTATGTGTTTGTTGATTGTTTTAGTGCATTCGCACAAGTATCTAGTACTACTTGTTTGAATTACTTCATCTTTTCGTCTCGACATTTTTTATCTGTTATGATATTATTTAGTGATTTTTAAATTCATTCATTATTGCTTAATTAATTTTTTTTGTTTATATTGCAACCCAATAAATTTGAACAAGTATTTTAATCCATATATTTTCTTGAGACTTTGTGACATGGCATTATGATAGTATCTTTATGAGATTAACTAAAATCTAGATTAAAACAATAAGTATTTCTGTAGTAAAGTTGAATCAGCTCTGATTAATCTTGACAGTTATCTTAAGAAATATTCGAGCAATAAACAACAAAGGTTTAGATCAGGCTAATCTATTAGCTAAAAAAAAGTATGATACGATAAAATCTCATTTCAATATTTTAAACTGGAAGAAATGTGAACAGATTTGTTCCGACAAAACTGGTGAAGCTTCGAGAATAGCGAAAGCTGTTCACAAATGTAAAACGAAAAACAATTGAAAACGAAAGCTCTGTCCGAACTCAAAATTCAGTCCGAAATTACAGATATTACGTGGGTTAAAATGTTTAATGCGACAGTTTTGAAGATCTTTCCAAAATTGATAGAAGGATTTTGTCCATTCCTGAATCGAAACCAACGCTTACATAGAACGCACTTTCTCGATTACAGGCAGTTTAGACTCATCGGTAAAATTGAAAGAGAGTGGAATTAAACAAAGCAATCTTTTACTATAACTGTATAACGATGTGGCATTGCTGCGTTTCATAAACTTATCAATAAATATAAATAGACATCGATATTGTAAAATGCAATATCTAATGAAAAGTACATCTGAAATTAATGCGAAAGACCGCTGAAAAATATTTTAACTTATTGTTTAAAAACAACTTAAATTTTACCAAGAAATGTTATTTATTTTATTGATACAAACTAATACATTTTAGTAATACCTAGAATTCTTCAAAATCCCTTCCCTCCTCTTCATGAATATTAAAAATTATTCTCGTGAGGAACTTTGGGCAAATCGAGAACAGTGTTTAACCAGCACCAGTCCCTTGAGGGGGAGGAAGGTATAGGAGAGGGGCATTCTTTCGAAAGAGGCTTAAAAGTAGCGGTATTTGTGCTTCTGCACTTGTCCCGCACTTGCCACAGCGACCACTGCTTAGTTACTCGAAGAGCTGCGTGGTGTTCACAGCGCGGACAAAGCTATCACGAGAAAATTTTGGGCGTGTTTTATTCTGTTTATACTTCTGGACCTACTTTTACATATTGTACACTTGAGCGACTAATCTGGGAGGCGCTACTTTCAACAACTGAGTCAGTTTGAGACGATATCCTGCGAAATCAATTCCCAGAAGCCTCAGCGTTTGCGCGGACGAGAGTGATTTGGTGCTGCTGTTTGAACTTCTGCCAGCGGATAACCAGACATGAGTATTCAACCGTGTGTAGGTAAGAATATTCGCCTTTTTTTAATGCTAGTATCAAGGTGGAAACAGATGTAAATCACCTGAAATTATCTAATACTTAAGTGCAAAGACAGATAATTTTCCATGGGTTCTAATTCAAAAGGAGACATTTGTGTCAAGTAAACTGAGTGATACTCTATCTTAATCTTCTTTGTTTCCAAGTTTGCTTCGAATATTTATTCCATGGCTTATGAATAATTGTCTATTTTAAAACCTAAAATTTATTTGTATCTCTACATTATCACATGATTATCATATAAATTCATGTAACTTGAACAATAAATCAAAGAACACAGTATTAAAAATTGATGCATTATGTTAAAATGAAATAAGAAATTAACCTTTTTAAAAATTAAATTTTAAAGCGCAAATAAAGGGTTTAATCAAATTTTTCGCAAAGAATAGAAGTAATATTCTTATCCGTAAAATAAACCTTTCTCTATATTATGAGTGTCGTGTCATCCGTAATTTAACGGAATACCGAAAACAACATACGTGTGAAAATTAAGACGCTAGCTACCTAGACCCCGCTGATACCTTTATGAAACTCAAAATCCCTTTCACGTAATTGCTTTCTTAGTAGGATTGGACAAGATAGAAACCGAATCGAATTTAAATCTTTTCAATTCGATTGTTCGATCAACCAAACGTATGATTCAAATTCGATTAATCATGATGGAAAGCCTTAATAACAACTTAAAACCTACATATTACTTTACTTTATGGTTCATATATTTATCAGTAATTTAAAATAGGGGTTCATGATTTGCAGGATAATTTCATTTATGTATTGTTTATGATTTATATTTAATTATAAAATAAGTAAAATAATTTGTTTTTCTCCCTCTCAAATTGTATCAGTAAACAAATCTACAATGATTTTAATATTTATTAGGATATCACAACGAAAGATCTTGGAGTACTTTTTAACAAAAATAAACACATTGATGAGATTTTTAATAAATTGATGCAATTGTAGATCAGTTTTAAAGGGAACTTCAGAAGAAATAGTCAATTTAAGTCATGACATTTAGTTTGTCTTTGGTTGAGCCATATCTAAGTACACATCTATTGTTTGTTCTCCCTACTTTAACTTACACATTTATCATAGAGAAAAGGTTAAACATTAATTAATCAGAATGTTGAAATAGTAAGTTGGATTGCCAGATTCATAGGTCATAGACATAACAAATTTTATTAGCTATTGATATTTCGTTGTTAAAATCTCCATAAGAATTTAACAATATAAAAATTCTACTTCATTTTTAAACAGTAACGTTTAACATTCATGTTTGTTTTAAATCTTGTTATTCCTTACATTTATTGTTTTTTTTATTGGAAACAACACATCTTTATCAAGGTACTGCCAATCATTATGTAGCGTGAATGTGCAGGTCAGTCGATGATTGTATAGTTAATATTGATGAAACCAACATAATTTGACTGAAGCACACTCAAAATATAAATTTTGTTATTAAAACTTAAATTTAAAGTAAAGTGTTTTGTTGCTAGTCATTCATTTTAACTAAGTTTTGTTATTTTATTTTGTGCCATTTTCTTTTTTCTTTATGAATTGTTCTATTATAAAGTACTTGTAAATAAATTGGACATTAATTGTTCTAGATAATAATTTTGTTTAATAGTTCATCGTACATAATTTTCAAACCCTTTAATTCGGTGTATGTTTCCTGAAACTCTTAGTAGTATTGAACAAACGGTAAATAAGCGATTCATGTGTATGTATTGTTGAGAGAAAATAAAATTGGAAATTACATAACGTTAAGAAAAATGTTTCCAATCCCTTTATTCAAACCTATATTAAAATTTTCATCATTATTTGAGTAGCCTTTTTCAATTCTTAAGACGTGAAACTGAGATTACTCTTCCCAATATTTATAGAACCACGGCACATCATTTGAATTTCGACATCCATTTTTAAATATTGATCAAATGGATCATTCTGAGCAACTCTTAAAAAACAATGAACATTACTCCTCTGATTAAATTAGTTTTTTATAAAAATTGAGCACCTCTTTTTTTAAAAAAATTTTTATCTAAATTTCAACTAGACCGATGATATGCTTACTTAAATCTTACACTTCTTCAATTAGAAATAACTCAATTATATAATATGTAAACATATTAATGACTAAATCATTGACATGTTAACAAAAAACATGCCTTCGGTAAAAGAGGAAGAAAATGTTTGCTTTTCTGTGATTGCACATGCTTTTATGTCCCTTTGTTGATTTATTAAATGTTTTATATTTATTATGGCTCTATATAATTTCATAATTAATACTTCAATTTTCTGTTACTACTATTAATTGTTACTCAAAAAGTAAATGATGCATTTAAAAACAATTAACAATTTTTTTTTGTAAAGAATACATTATTTGATTAAAAAATTGGAGAAGTTGTGTCAAAAATGTATTAGTATTACGAATAAAAGATGATTAATCAATTTTTTCAGTGAAAATTATACTCTTTGTCTATCCTTATTTAGATTTTAGATTTATTCAGTCAAAAAAACGGTAAAATCTTTATGTGACGTAGGGGGGAAAACATTATCTGTGCATGTTTTCTTGAGTTCCAGAATCCCTTCCCGTCATTTTAACTATAAATAGTTGAAAGATTTTTAAAATAAATTTTAAAAATCACAAGACTAGCAATATTTGAAAAATAGTACTTTGTGTTTCTGAATAATAGAAAACTTAATTGCATCATTATTTTTTGAGCATAGTGATGTAAAGCCACAAAAAATACAGAAGCAAACAAATTTATCTGTTCAGAAAATTGTCTGCCACTATTAATTCATTTCATATGACTTTGGCCCTAGAGATTTGTTGACAGACATGAGTTTTCAAAAATTTAGAAACCAAAACACAGAAATCATACACTGAAATGTTTGTATTCTTCGTTGAATAAAGTTCATTGAGCGATGTTTCTCATCTTCAGGCTACAATAAATACAACAATTTTTTCACATTTTTTTCTCTTAATGTACAGCTCTTTACTCCTCTCAGAAATCACATTTCTGCTGATTCAATCCTCCTAAAATCTTCTTGTTTTTGATCTCAAATTTCACATCCATGCAGTAAAACTGGGAGAGGTATTATATCATAAAATTTTAACCGAGTTTATTTTCAGCTTTTTCTTCTTTCTTTTCTTGAAATTCTACTAATAATTCCACATACTGCTTGAAATTTATGGATCTTGTGGGTGACCCTCTTTCAGATGTAATTTCACACCCTAGATAGTTAAAATGTGTCACTTGTTCCAAAACAATATTTTGAAGCACAATCTTTGTCCTAATTGATTCTTTACCTTTAAAAGCATTACTTTGGTTTTACTAACTGATACTATCATATTGAACTCCATAAAAATTTGCTCCATTTGGTAAATAGGTCTATGCAAATCATCTTTCCTTGGTTTTTCTGCAGGATAACCTAGTGGTCAGCATATAAAAGAGTATTTAAAAATGTATTTTTGCCCAGGTGAATTCCTGAGGGTAACATGGTCTTCCACCTTTTAATTATAGATTCCAGATATATGTTAAAGAGTGTCTTCCTGCCTTAACTCCTTTATTTCCTAGCAACAAATCCATTGTATTTTACTGTGATATTAGTGTTATCCTACATACTTTTCACCACTTGCACTAGATGACTTGGGTACTATTCTTCTTTCATAATGCTCCATAATTTATATTAGTTAACATTATCAAACGCCTTCACAACATCCATGAAGGGTAAAAGTGTTTCTCTATTAAACTCCACTTTTTTTTCAATTATTTGCTTTAATATAAATATGTCATCTATTGTTGAATGACCTGTTCCAAACCATTGTTGTTCCTGGGGTAGAGTGCAATCTGCAATTGGAGCTATTCTGTTATTCACAATTTTTGCATATACTTTGAAACATTAGTTAAGTAGACAAATACCTTATAGTTGTGTCATTTACTTCGATTTCCTTTTCAAAAACTTGAAGCAATTAACAAATCTAACCATTCATCTGGTATTGCATTCATTCATTAGGTGGAGTAGTCAAAGTTTCAGTAACATACCTCCATATTTCTTTAATTCTACGTTAACCTCATCAGGACCACAGGTTTCCTATTTTTGGGAGGATTTGAATGCATTATCAAGCACTTTCATATCTAGCAAATCTACATTTATTTTTGTTCTCTTTTCTTCATCTGGCATATAAATTTCTTCAATCCCACTCCACAATTTTACAAAGTAGTTCAACCACTTTTTCCTGGAAATTATATTCAATCTTGCTGAATCTGTTTCTTCTAAATCCATTGATTTTAACACTTTATAGGTTATACTTTGTCTTCCAAATACATCATGTTCTAACATATTCCCATATCTATTCCAAGATTCTTGGTGGGCATATGTTTTAGCTTTATTCCAATTTTGGTTGTTGATTTGTGTACTCTGCTCATTTCTGCTTTGTTGATAATTTAGGTATTCTATCTTTTTTTCCTGCACTGCCTCTGCAACCATACCATTCCATATTTTCAAAGTTTTCCTTTTTTCGCCTAATTTTTTCAGTGCCTAATGCCACATATGCTGCTCTTTTTATTGATTCTTTAATATTTCTCCATTCTTCACTCAGATCTTCTGATATAGCAATGTTGCTCAAGAACTGATTCAACCATCTCTAATATAACTCCTTTATATTATCATCTTCTAGTAGATACACTTTACACCCCATATCTTCTTGATTATTTTTTAAAATAGTGCATATCTTCTATGTTGCTCTTATATTTATTTTTGTTTTCACTAAATAGTGATCTGAATAAATATCATATCCTCTTAAATCACGTGTATCTTTCATGTCTGAACTGGACTTTTTATTAACTATTTCATAATCTATTCTTGAGTGTTGGTTTTTCTTTCTTCTAATATCTTTAATATATTTATTTCTTTATTTTGTATGCCACGAACATTCCATGTTGTTACATTTAGTACATCCCATG